ATTTCCTGGGTTAATCTTTTCTAGAACGCTTTCACTTTTTAAACAAGAGCTTCCAGAAAATGCCCGATTTCGGCGTCAATTTAGAATGCCGCCATCTCAAAAAAAAAAAACCAAAAAAAAAAAAAAAAAAAAACGACTTCGTCGGTGGCTTAAGAAACGGGCACGCGAGGATTACAACACTTAGTATAGCAGTAGAATGGACTCAAGGAATCACATTAGCTTGTCTTTTAGCAGCTACTTCTCATCCCCTATGTTAACCCGTTGCTAATCAACTTCGTCCGCAGTCGCATTTTCAGGGCTAAACTGATCCGCCCCAGCCTTCCTTTCATGCAGTCCCTAATTCCCACGTCACGTGATAATCCTTGAGAGGACATAGGATCGCATTCGGCCGGCTCGACTGAAATTTGAATTAACCAGTCGGGATTCTGCTGACGGGAAAAACCCTACTGTCCTTACGTCAAATGCACGTTAATTGAAGTTGGGCATATTTCCTCACTGGAGACGGCATTAAATATTCACGAAAAAGGATTTTTTGACTCCAAAGGCCATATCAGATTGTAAAGAGTGAAAAATTTGAAACACTTTGAGTCTCCAACTTTTAATTTAGCGCCAAAATTGGGTCGCCCGCTCTCGGCAACTCGCTCTTCGATCGCTGTCGCCAGGTAGGATAATAGTTGTGTCATTCTGGACAATTTGAACAAAACATGCTGTTCCTCGTCAAATTAAACCAAGAATTCTCAGGTTGATTACTAGAAGTAGCCAAAAGCAACCTAGAATTGTCTTTATTTTTTGTTAGCTGCATGTGAAGAAAAACACTATTATCGTGTCGTTTCGGTAGGACAGCTAAGTTTTCACTGCCGCTTGTAATGCGGGCGCAGCCACCGTATGCAAGGCGGTATTGTACCGGAACTAGCGTGCAATGGAGGCTCAAGCCAGGGAATATCATTACAAAGAGACGAATTATAATGCATTTGAAAAGATTCCTCGGCATTGGCCTCAGTATCAAGCTAGTCCCAGTCCAATACTTAGGATACGTGCGAAGCGAAGCTAATGCGTTTCGTGTGGACAGAAAACAATTTGAAAACGAGCTTTTTAAAAACAATGACCTCACGATAATCATGTGATTTTCAAATCCAAAATGACCATTGATTGTTGCGTTTTCAAATTCCTCCGGGGTGGTATGGACGGAAAACATTTGACGCGTTTTCAGAGTGAAACCTCCGTTTTCAAATTCCTCTGGCGTAGTCTGGGCGAGACCTCAAATCTCCGAATTTATTACATGATATCTTTTGTGAACAATTATATACCTATCTTCATCAATTTGTTACAAATGTAAATTACGTTTATGAATTTACCTTGAAAACGTTTTAACTAAGTCGTCCGAAAAGCTTCTGACGCATACGCTAAATGTAGGAGACTATACTCTTCAAATGCACCAACAAATGCACATTTGCTGCCGGCGATTGCCGGCGATAATATTTGCTAGCATCTGGTCATAAATCAAACAGGTTGTAAATTTCAAAACCAGGGACTCGGGTACTTTAGATCGTCGGGTGCTTTACTAATAGACCTAAGCTGTTCACTGTATCCCAAATACCTAAAGTTGCATGCTCGGATCATTACACTATCCTAGGAAAGCCGTCACAAAACCTGCACCTAAATCAGTGGTAAACACGACTGATCAAGACACGTGATTTACGGGATAGTGCGTGGCGCGCGCTGCGCCGGTGAATGACGCAAGAGGATTGGTCACCAATTCATAGTGCTCCCTCACGCGAGGAAAAATTCAAGCTGTTTATGTCAGATCTCAACACAGCTTTTGATATGTTCCTTCCCCATAGAGTGATTAGGAAACATCCAACAGACCACCCCTGGATTACCACTAAGATCAAAAATCGATCCATAGGCGTCAATTTGTATTTATTCATCAAGGAAAGAACTCAATGGCTTATCGACTTTGGAGAAATAAGGTGCAACGAGGTATTAAAGCTGCTAAATATCATTACTATTACAATAAGTTAGCTAAACTGGAACAAATCAATCCGGCGAAGTGGTGGAGAGAGATAAAGAAGCTCACAGGACAAGACATTCAACTGGAATAGCATCACCAGTTCCTTCTCAGCGACATTAAATCCCTGGCAAATAAGATCAACGACTTTTTTTGTGAGCCTCACGAATCATTCTCCCCCCTCCACCCTGCTTCAAGGAGCCCCGCTTCTAACTGTTCTGCACGAACTTCTCGTGTCTGAGGGTGAGGTCTACAGATCTTTATCCTCCCTTCAAGTGGCCAAGGCAGTCGGACCCGACAATATTCCGAACAAGATATTAAAACACTTTGCTCCCTAGTTGGCCCCCAATCATTCGCGTTATTTATATAAAAAAAACCTAAAATCTTGTAGCTCGTTTCACGTTCTATTACATTATCGTCTATTGTGATTGGTCTTAGCAAAAAATAGAGTTATTTAGAAAGTTAATAAACGTTTTTTTACCAACGACTTAAAGAGTTCATAGGGATAATCTCCAGAGCTGACGCGCTCCTAACTTGGATTGCTGCATTCTTGACCAATCGACAGCAGGCCTCTAGAATTGGAGGAACTATATCTGATTGGACAACACTAAAGGGAAGAGTATCCCAGCGGAATAAACTAGGTCCCATTCTCTTTACGGTCAGAATTTAACCCAGTTCATTCCCTTGGGGTGCTCCTCCTTCTAGTGTAGTTTGTCGCTATGAACTCGTTAAGACTTAGATTAGTTAGGTTTATTTAATATTATTTCTTGTACTGACCTAACTCGTTAATTCAGTCTAAGACTGCCAGCGAGTTTTAATAAACTACTACTAATAAATAAATTGCTACAATCACGGTATCTGGCGTTTGCGCAAAAGCGCGCACGCCAGATACGAAGACAACTCAACCTGCCTAACCCCGCCCCCCACCATCCATACAATGTTGAAAACTACTACCTGCAATTTCTTTCAACACTGCATTGGGTGGGGAGGGGGAACAGTAACACGTTTTTAAAAGGAAAGCAGCGCTTTTTTCAAACTTCAGTAGTAAAACACATACAATCCGTTAAATTACATAAGTGTCCCAAATACTTTTGTCCACGACTGTAGGTTGATCTGCAACTTGAACATCACTGTTAAATATGCGACCATTTTTGTGGATCTAGTCGTGCACGTGTTTACTGCGATACCTTCCATTCAGCGGCACACCCCCACCTCCTCCTCCCCCCCCCCCCCCCCCCCCATCGAGATGTACCCTAGAGGGGGGGGGGAGAATTGGTATGAAAGTCGAACCACATATTACGAGTAATTCTATATTACAGACAATGAATTTGGTCCCATAGAAACCTGAATTCATATAAATGTAATCTACTTCTGTAATACAAACACTCATGTCTGGCCCTTTAGTTCCCGTATTAAAGCGGTAAGGCTGTAGTTTTCGGTAGAATCAATGTCTGACCACACTTCGGAGAATACTCGTTTTTAATGCGTCTTTACTCAAGCGGAATGTTTTGCTCTCTTTCATGATCTGTATATTACATAGATTCTTCTTACATTATTCTACATTGTTGTCCTATTTACATATTCTATATTTTGGCATGCTTTTAGAACTAATCCAATAAATACAACCTTTAAGCAGACGAAATCTACGAAAGCAGAGGGGATTTAGTTATTTCATTCATTAGCAAGAAAGAATGCGCATTTGTCGTATTCTCGTGGACAATTACCTAAAAATGCCTACACAGAGAAAGTGAACAAAATTCATGTACAATAAAAAACAGAAAACCTCTACAAGGGAAAAAGCATCTTGCCAAGAATAGGGGTGAAAACGGTTCATTATTGCCCAGAAAAGAAACACCCGCCTCTGTACTAGGAATTTAATGATCCGTCTTGGCACCATTCGCGTTTATGTTTGAGTAAACCAGAGTACTTTTCTCCGAGACAAGCTATATGTTGGCTATATGTTGGAGGAAAACTGACAGTCCATGCTATGATTCCTCCTCAGGTTTTTTTTCTACCCCCACCCCCCTCCCCCTTACCATCTTTTTAGCCAATCTCAAGACTTATTTATATCTACATAGATAGCCCCTTAGTGGTTTAGTCAGTGACCGTTTGTCGTGCTAACATCTCGCAGATGTAGAGGCTTCAGCGACTTTGGCCTCCTTGAGAACTAGCAAGCACCATCAGTGCTTCATACAGAGCTCATAACAGGTGACGCTGGAGATCATGTTCTCTTACTCATAATAGGCCCTTTGCACGATCCGGTCACATGGTACGGAATAAATTATGCTGGGACGTAAGTTACAGAGTGGGACTTCCAAAACAAAGGAGAGTCGGGCTGGACTGGTACGAGTTCCTTTGTTTTGGAAGTCCCACTGTGTAACCTGCGTCCCAGCATAATTAATTCCATACCATGTGACCGGATCATGCAAAAAGCCTATTAAAATAAAACCAGGGGAAATAAGCGCTTCATTGTCTTCCTAGAAAGTGTCAAGTACCCATTTTTCATTACCCAAGTTAGACTCTGGAGTCGGAAAAATTGGTTTTATATTAGTTATGCAACACTTTCGAGTGGCATAGCATGGAATATCCCACGAGTCACTTGTATTTTCCCGGAATACACGCGAAATTTAAGGCAACTGTGTATAACAAGAAAATGTAAGTGACAAGTGGGATAATCCAACGGTATTCTACAAGACGTACAACTACATTATTTCATGCCATAGAAAACACAGTGGCAAACACAATCAATGCTACATACCCGCGGTGCTCGATGGGAAGGTTGGGTATACTACCGCCAAATATAGGGGAATCTTTGTTTACAATATTTGCGTCATTACCATAAGCGATACAGTTTCTGATGGAGCTACAAAGAGATTAATAATGAATATTGAAAGGGCACAGCACGATTAACTGTCCCAAGGAATTTGAGCGCGATGTATTGAATACTTTTTGTGCGACGCGGGTTTAGAAGCTCAAAATTTTACAAAGAATGTATGAGCTCATTAGCGCTTTTGCCACACAGAAATTTTGATGTTTTTGAAAGCCAATTTCTCCTCGAATATCACAACAAAAGAGCCAAAACTTTCACCACCTACTAAGTTTCACAAGCTCTTTAAGTTTTTGCGAATAAAATCGTGTCTAGCATGATGCCTTCTATGCGCAAAGTCGTATGTTAATGAGGACAAACGTAAACAATGACGCCAGCAAAGATTCGCCTATACGACGGCTTTCCTGTATTCTCATGCCATTGACTGTATTTTCTGTGGTATGGTATAAAACGTAATAGGCAAGCCTCGTGAAACTAAGTGATCAGCAGGACAGAAATCAATTGCGTAGTTAAAATTTATGTTGTAATTCTAGGTTCTTATCTAAAGGTACGTCTCTAAGGCTCTCGAGACGAACCTCTATACTACTGCTTCTATGCTTCTACTTAAAAGCAGAGGAGCATAATGGACTTGAATATAGCGTCTGCTATACTTGAGGTCCTTTAGTTTAGAACATCAGACAGTTTTACAGCCAAGATTCAGCAGCTTGAAGACTTGTGTTGACAAACACATACTGGAGCGTTTTTCTCTAAAGAGTCAACGTCGTCAATATTTTCAGGAGCGTGTTTTTCACAAGAGCCATGAGAACTGCTAGAGTGTTGATAGCACGGGTTGGTAGGAGACCGTCCCATTGTGCCTCCGCCGCTCTGTACGCTTCGGGGGCCCGTACACTTGGCGCCACTCTCGCTCGTACCATGCGAGTCTTCACGGGGCTGTAGACGCAGTACCTCTTTGAATGCCTGTCTGAAGGAACGGTTGAGCGCGTTGTAGATCAAAGGGTTGTTAGCATGGTTGGAGACCACTAAGAGGAAAGACATCATGTCTAACCAGTGAGGTATATTGAAACCAGGCTGCACCATTTGCACAATGTTCACCACACTGGCGGGAATGTAGCAGATAATGAACACGATGATGACTGTAAACAATGTGGTAGCGATTCGGACGTCTTCGACATTAACTGACGGCTGGCTCCGGCGGAGATTTTCCATGATTGCTCCATGGGACTTAATAATTTTGTAGATTTTTAGATAGCAGAAGAGTATTATGGAGAAGGGCGCTATCACAATGATGAGAGCAAATGTTATCGTGTAGGAGATGTTGCGGCTGAACAAAAAATGGCAGACACATTTCCCGACCTGATACTCATGCGCAGACCAGCCAAAGATGGGCGCGATTGACAACACAAATGGCACAAGCCACGTGACCGCCAGAATTCGCAGGGTATTGTTGATGGTGTAAATCCTGTTGTACTTTCCACCCTCGACGATCTTGAAATACCTGTTTATACTGATTGCACACAGAGTAAGGAGCGACGTCGAGCCCAACAGGACTGTCAAGAAACCATTCAGTTTACAGACGTGTTCTCCAAAAATCCACTCGCCGCGGTTGATAATGGTGGACAACATAAATATCAAATTCGCTGAGGCGAAAATATCCGCAATCGCGAGATTTATGAGGAAATAACTTCCAGTTATGCGTTGCGAGCGACGTTGTTGCTGCCACAGGACAATCACAACAAGAGTATTTCCGATCATTCCCAATAGAATGACAAGACTGACAAAGGGGACCAACAGACCGATAGATAATGAGGACCATTGGAAACTAGGCGCCACAGTTGAGTCCATCATCTGCTGGATGACACGGGCTTAAAGCTGAAAGCAGGAAATAAATGATAGATATAATTTCAGTCAACACTTATCAGACCATGTTTAAATATTTCCCCTTGACTTTTCTAGATATTCCATGAAGAAAGCTGAGAATTCGAAGTGCAAATGTTTCAAAACAGCTCAATCTTTTGGAGTACCTCCAAGAAAGTTTAAAATAACATTGTGTTTTTATGATCCCATGAAAAGGTCTTTTTAAAAGTTTAATATTTTTGACGAGCCTTATATACTGGGAAAGTTTAATAAGTAAGTGTATGGTTTTTTATGGATGCTGATATGCCTAGTGTATGGATTAAAAAGACTGAAATATGTGGTACAAAAAAATGTGTTTCAAGAGGATCAGTGTCAGACGAAATACGATCAACTCATAAACATTGCTGTAAGAAACAATAAAAAATAAATAACAAATATACACTTTGAAACTCTTCTTTAAACACAGTTCTTACTATATTTCTTTCAGGTAAGAATTCGGTTAATTATGCATCGACAAAAGAAAATGTAAAAATTAACAAACAATTGGTTATGTAATTTTAAGTTCTGTTTGTGATCCGCGAGCTAGGCGTCAACGTTCTGAGGTTTTATTAAAAACTTTGCTTTCTTTAGTAATGATCTACTTATAAAGACTTGCTGTGCCGCAAGGGCTTATTAGCATATTGTAACAAGCATTCCAGCCAACATTTCTATATAGCAGGCGTACTGAATCAAAGTCAGACCCTAACTTTAAAAATGAGATCAATCGCCTAATGTCCTCCTCGTACTCACACACGGCAAACATGGAAATCAGTTTTTTCAGTTTTTATCTAAGTCTACTCTTGTAACTGATGTTTTTACCGGCCTTGTGTAAATAGTGCATGTATTGTATTCATATGTAAGTGTGTACGTAGTCAGCGACAATTAGGACCTTAATAAAATTTACCGCACAGGAATTTAAGTTGTCAGCTACTGCATCGGCCCAAGGTGTGCGAAACTGACAAGGAGATCTAACAATTATATAAATAATAAAAACAAGAAAAATACTATAAATTATCAAGAAGCAAGAAAAGAAATAAGCTATTGATGAATTTCATGTGAGACCTAAGCCAGCAGAAACGATCCCTCGAAAAGCAGAAGAAAATTCTATTCAACTCACTGCAAAAGTTTTACTTACTTGACACTATAATGACTTTACTTTAGGCGGATTAAAGTCTAAATATCCAGCTGCAATAACAATCCTTCGCGTTTCGAAAACTGTAAATGGGCGATCTAGATAGTTAAATATTCGCTCTGGACTGCCAGGACGCTGCCAAGCAAATCTGTGGAGCTGAGAAGCATCTCGCTTTCGGACAGCATATAACATAGCATACCCTCTTTGGCATGTGCCCAGCCTTGCCTGGCGGCTTTCGAGTTATCTTTAATAGTACCGACTTAATTCTCTAGCAAAACGTAGGCGCGCGACAAAGCGTTTCCAGGTCGGGCCACGTTTTGTGGGCTTTTACTAGGCGTTTTAAGGGCGTTAAATGAATGTTATTTGAAGAAATTAGTTCACGACTACACCGCCGGATTGCAACTGAAACTTTGCTTTCTTTGAGGGGTGTATTGCTTCTAATTGAGCACAACCATCGCTCAAAAAGATTTCAGTTTTCGATTCTAAGCCGAAGAGAATTCGTACAACGGAAATGCTTTGAGGTTTGATTCGGATCTCACAGTTGACTTCTTACATGGCTTTTTAAATCTGCAAAGAACACGACCGCGGATGCAGATAAAAATTCCGACAAAAGATCTATAATCTTCTTACGGTTATCGGAAACATATTTTGACGGAATAAAAACAATGTGGGAATATCTGGAAGCCTTTAGAGGTCTTCGTCGGCCCGGGTTTGTAATTCACAATTCCCGAAATTGCTGTATCTGAACACCATTAAATTTTTTTCCTTATTTTTTTTCTCTTTTTCAGGAAGAACTAAGGGACTCTATCTATAGATCTGGTCTATAATTGTCGATTCTGAAACCGCATTTCGCCACTAATGTCACCATTAGCTTTACTACTTTATCGCAAATGTACATCTTTGCTCAATCTACGTATTTCTGTCTCTTTCATGTACAAATAAGTACATGTTTTTAGCGTAAGGTTAAATGTCATTACTTTTCAACCAGAACGTGAAATCGAGGACTTTCTAAAAGCATCAATGGCAAGGTGCAACTAGAGATTATAAAAATCCGCTTAAAAATCTTCATATGCGGACAGTGGAACAGTTAGCATCTATTTTGATCATTACGAAGACTGGTTTCTTTCTGGCCTTTATATCAAGTGATAAATGGTAGGTATCTCCGAAAGAAAAGCTTTTAGATCAAAAGATAGCCATCGCTCCTTTCGCGATTCGTGTTTCCGAAATTAGACTTACCTGCTAGCATGTATTACCTTAAGGTCCGATTATTAAATGAATTGAAAAGAATTTGAAACGAAACACGCGTAAAGAAGGTTTTAAACCGCTTTGTATGGCGACTTCAAAACGGCGGTGATAAGAGTTAGCCGACTGTACTAAACAAAAAGTGAACCTCAACTAAACGCGGTCTGATTGAAGATCAAGAGGAACACTTCATCACTTACTTAGCCAAGGTCACATAGGTACAAAGACCAATTTTTCACTAATTTTAACGATTTAGAGCCTTTTAAATTAAAATATCGCGTTAAAATGCTTCAGTCGACTACGCGAGGTTCTCTTTGAAGGCCTATAGACTTCAATGGCGTCGATTTTTCTACGCGAATCCTCGCTCCATTTTGGCTGGCGACCAAAATCAAGAATTTCATAGTTTACATGTTTGCTTTCATAAAGTTGAAATTAAGCTTTAACTAATTGTCCCGATTCCCTTCATACAGATACTTGCCGTTTTATGAACAGCCATAGGAGCCTACTCGAATTCGCCAGAATTGAGGCATCCAGGGTTTCTACAAAATGCTCCAGTTTGCGCATTTTGCCGAGATCTTACAGACTGGACTTGCTAACGAACGCTAGTCAGCGTTGTTTGTACAAAGACAAGTGATACTAAATCGATTTTACTTCAAGGCAAGAAAAAAACAACAACTGAAACATTAAACAAATACAGCGCGAAACTTTGGTTTTCTCGTAAAAGACCAAGAGAACGAGAAACACTGACAAAATCATAAAATAACAATAACCCTGCCTACGTGTTGAAATATCATTTATGATGTTCAAATTGTGGGTTACCGGTACAGTCAACAACATAAAATCACACATTTACACTTTTACAAGTTCTAAATTAGCCTCACCAAGTTCAGTTTCCCTCGCAGTTTCTGGTCGGTCCTTGTAGAAAGAAGCCAAACTTTTCCTTCGTCTTATCAGTCTAACATAGAAGAATGTTCATATTGGAGTAAATACGGTTCTTATATACTGACCTCCCGGTCGGATTATAAAGTCCTAATGGACAGATCTATCCCTGGTATCTATTTCACATTCCATATAGGGGTTTTTAATGGAAGGCCGTTAATCTCCCACAATAAATCAGAATAAAACTTGTAAATACAATGAAAAGCACTTAGGCTTTACCAACGTAAGAACGTTTTCATTTGCCATTGTTAGAAGAAGCCCTCACGTAGATGCTTTGGAAAACTTTTTAAGGAGGATGATAGATAAGCGGTTGCAAATCTTTCGGTAATCTTATTACTATCCCAAAAAATTTGAAGTTAAATCTGGTGAATGTAAAACCAGCCCAGCTGCCACATGTCGCTATATACTGCCATTCTAACACACAAAAACGCCTTCCACTGTTCTTTCCCTATCGCACCAACCCTCCTAGCATTCATGTCAACTTGCAAATTCTCCTTTCTGGGTAGTACAGTATTCATACATTTTTTACAGCACTATTTGGGAGAATTTGACAAGTGACAGTTAGACTTTGTGTATCATGATTACTTACTCTATTCTTGTATCTTTATCGAACGTGTGAGGGGAAAGTCCCGCCTACAATGTGCAGAATTTTAGTTAGAAGTTAAGTGAAAAAGGATAATAAGTTTAGAATGTCAAGAAATGAGGGGTTAACCGACCCTTTCACTGAAGATAACGACAAAACCGAGAGTTAATTAACATGGTCCAAACTTATAAGTCTTTGGACAAAAACCAAGAGTGTGACTACTTGAATAGAAGCTTTTGAAAAGTCCTTTCGAATACGGTAATGCTTGTCTTTAAGACAAACTTCGGCATTTTTCACTGTTTGAGACTTTTCCAGGTTTTCTGAATGACTGTGAAGTGCAAACGGTAATTGGGCGCGTCTGATCCTAGATTCCGATCAGTGCTTAATTAAGATATATGGTTGGCACGTTTTAATGAACTTGAACATACTTCTGTTTCAGCTCAATTCAGATCCGGAAAACGTGAGACCCAGAAAACCCCAGTGCGCAAATAGCACTGCGTCATGTCCAATGTGAAATATCTTCTTCAACATTAACTAATCCGCCATTTAAGAGTTTATCAGCTATTTTTACTCTGCTAAGCGTCTTAGAAAGGATAATCCACAAGCTTTGAATGTTATGCGGTACTTATATCTCTCACTTCCACAAAATCCCGTTACTTTTCGTTGTTGCACTCAGACAAGCTGTGCAGATAATTCCACCATACTGCCCGCACAGCAAGACAGCAACAATTGTACTGATCAGATGAATTACGTTGGTGCCGATATTTACGGAAAGCCTCTCCAAATGGTGTTCTAATCGTGTTTTATAAAGGACTTTTGTTGTTGGTTTTGATTTTTGATTCAAACTATAAGACAGCAATATGACGTAAAGACTACAATGCTTTCCCTTTGTTTCGTAAATCTTACACATGCATGTCTAACGATTAAATTGAGAAATATATTACGTTTACTTTCTGTTTCAATAGTTCAGTCTCCAAAAAATGCAAGTTCTAGAGTCTTCGTTATCTTGTGTATTTTTTATTTAATTTGTCGTCAGGTAAAGGACGAGAAAAACCTGGACGTGTTTTCACATAATCGGCCTTCGTCGGTTATTACAGATCATTCCGCTGGCCAATGCGGATAGTTAATGAAGAGACTGGAATAATGATAAAGGAAGAATGTGGCAAGGAGGAGATGTGCGTGGCTTGGCCACGTCTTCAGAATTGATCATCTCTCACATCCACGAAATGCACGTACATTGATACCAGAAAACAAAGGAAACGTGGTCAACCGCACGAGACATGGAGGAGAACAGTGGAAAGAAACTAAGAGACTGGGCAGGTGACAGGGGAGCCTGGAACCAAATCTTGCAATCTTGAACACAATATTAACGCTTGTCTAGGGAAAATGAGGTTAGATCATGGTCTCTTGCGCTTCTAAATTCATTTCCTCCTTCCCAAAATATAATAATGATGAATCCAGGTTAAAATCAAAACGTACCATTTTTGCGTCATCGAAATGCAGAAGGGAGTGGTCTTTTTTTCTTTTTGACTTAAAGAAAACTGACATTTATCATTGTCAGACGTACCTATGATTTAATTTACCGGTCATTGGTTGATGTTGCCTTATAAATGTGGTTACTCTTTGACTATAAGAAACAGGACTGTAGCAATAAAAGATGAATCACTCCTGAAGTCCTGAACTGATTTCAATTAATATACAATGCTAGCTCCTCTAAGAGTTGAGCACTCTTTGAAATCCATTCACCGCAAGGAAACAGAATTTATGATTTAATTTGCTTATATTCATTAACTTTCCTAATTCCTGATCATCCATTAAGCTTTTGAAAAATGTGACACTATTTTGCATTAATTAGTTTAAATCCCCGGTATTTGACATGGTCGTGCCTGATAACAGAAATTATTATGACTGGTCATTGTATAATTCAGTCTCAAATTAAAGGACTGCGCTAAATTAAAAGCAGAACAGGTTCGCTTTGGACCAAACTTGGTAAGTAGACCTCGAGATATACGTGACAGACGCAATTGTTTTTTCAATATTTTGCATATATTATTTATTAAGTATTTGAAAATGCTTGTAAACTCAGAAGTTACCGTTGGATTATTATTTGGCCGTCCGGGCGCGAATCTTGTCAGGGCTAAAACATCAGCAGTTAGTTATTTGCAAAAGTTGCTTTCGTCTCATTTACGTCGGAAAACCCATTGGTACATAGTTTGTGCAATTAAAGGGGACGACAATACCCCAGCGGAAATCCTGTTTGAGATCAGTACCACTGAGAATTTGCTTGGCGCATTGCCTGAAATTTGTAGGAATAGATAAAGAGAACGAACTTACGCATTTTCAGCTCGGATGTTCCAGCTGGGATTAATGGAGAGAGTCTGAAAAACATCCGTTTGGTTGCGCAAACAACAATAGTTCTAGCTTTTCTTTCACATTTTATATGGCATTTCCGAAAAAATCTCCAAATCGTAACCAGCCAAACCTCACTGTTTACTCATAATTCACAATCATACCTTTTCACCTGTTTGGATTCATTTCATATCTCATGAACAAAGTCGATTCTCTATTAAAGCAAAGCCTTCGTAAACAGAAAAAGAAGGTTTATCTAAATTATTCATCGGTTGAAAAACTGACTTTAGTCGTTATAGTTCAGTAGTAATGTAAAATGACCTTTGTCTTGTTATAAATAGAACAAATGAACCCGAATAATCGCTTATGCAGACTTTGATAAATATTGCATAAAGTGCTCCCATACAACGTTGTCAAAATGTGATTTTTTTGTTTTAGATTTTCACGGTTAGGACTTTTTTTATTTTGGTAATAATAATTTTAAAAAAGGAAAAATTGTCTTTTCCTAAAAAATAAAATACACCAATGAGGAAAATTCACAGAACGAAACAATGTGCTATGAAATATTAAACTCCTGAGAGCTGAGAGTCACTATGCCAAAATTCTACTGTTAATCCGGTAAAATAATTAAAAATAATAATGCAACGATTGAAGAAAAAGAATTCGATACTTGGTAATAAAAATAATAATAACAATAATAATAAAACACAAAAAGTTTTGTTACATCAGTTGATTTAACAATCAAAGTGCGATATTGTATGCAGAAAGTTTTTCATCTTGCACACTCTTTGGCCGCATCACGGCAGAGCCAGTGGGATTTGTATAAAGCTATCTAATTTTCTGTCTTCAATAACTTGTTTTGCAAAAGGAGTTCTTTCCTGCATCCTTTATTTATTACAGTTGTTTGTTGTTTTATTTTATTTGTCCTACATTACTTAATACCTTTACTTCTAAGCAGGTAAGAACATTGGCTTGCCTCTGCAAATCACTGTAATTGTAAACATACTACAGCAGTCAGTACTCCATCGTAGCCGGAAGTTAAGTATGTTTTCAGGTCCTTGTTCTTTCTTGCTGTTTACTTGTGTCAACATTTGAATACGAGAATAATAAATAACCAGAAACGATTGTGCATGTTTTGAATTCTTCCATTAATGTATCGGCCCTAGTGTAAGTTGATGTTCTTCAGTGGTTAGAATCTCAAAGTTTTAATTTGTTCCCGCAAACAACAACCCCAAAAGAAGGATAATCAGTCAGGATAAGTAAACAATTATACATCCGGGCAAGCAAGCAAAACTGCCCTTTTATTCCTTGAATCTTAACATTTTTAACTCTTTCATTCCAAGAGTCAAATAAGTCCTTTGCATCCTATGAACCTCTAGTGTGTAAATATTTGTTAAATTAAATTAAAGCTGTAACAAATATTTTTGTGTGGTACTGTTTATTATGATGTAATGTTTTAGAGTTTGGGGGTAAACAACTCATTGCGCGCCATTCAAATGAAAGCTTTTGAGCAGTACTTTAATTTCATGTGTTGCATGTTGATGCTGTACAAAGTGGTCCTAGTCGGTGGATAAAACCCCAGTTCGCTAATAACTCTAATAAAGCCCGCGTAGCGTTTCAATTTTGCGCTATTCATATTCTCAACTGATGTTCCACAAATTTTAGTCTACTTTTTAACATTTTACTTTCAATTCGGAACGTATGCAATCGATGGAGTAGGAGGTTTATACCTTACAAGAGTTATATGGCATGCTCATGGGATAAGAAACTGTATAAATTCTACATGAATCTAAACTACGTATATTTTGAGTGGCACCCAACCTTGTTTTGCGCTCTTCGAAGAAAGTGCATTCTATAGTTTTGAATGCACCAAAACGAAGCCCTCACTGGTTAAGTGTGCGGTTCTAAGACACAAGGCAATATTTCTCTCTCACTTGACTTACGCACATGTTTCGCGAGCATTCAGGTAAGAAATACTCAAGAAGAGCTTTCAAAGGAGAAAGAAAAGCTCGCTGTTTTTGTTTGTTATCTCGTTCATGTACTTCTAGATCTTCAAGTGTACTCTATTTTGCCGCCATGTATGTTGGAGTAAAAATGTTTATGGGCAATTAGTAACTTGTTTATAACGAGCCTTTTGCCTGTAATAGTTTGCGAAATCGTGTTATTGTAGCATTCTAAATCACCATATCTCGGAATATGTTTGTTATGCAAGGAAAAATATCCAAAATAGTCAAGCCGAAATTCTCCATTAGAAGGTTTCCAAACGTTTATTCAGCAGTGAAAAATAGAGACCAACTCATAGATTTTATGTTTAACTGGCAATAGCCTAGACTCTGAAGTGATTGAACAACAGAAACTTAAAACGGATTAACCATACCTTAAAAAGTTGATGCAAAAGCTGAAGTTACAGTTCCGAAATATGTTGGGCGAGTACATCTGCCGTTAAGAGAGTTTTCATTTCCATTCGTGAAGGAGGCAACCAGTGTACGTACATCTCTGCTGGAAAAAACGTCTTTCGTGCGTCGAGAATGTTTTTTAACGAACAGTAGAATATTATTTCCGGCACTTAAATCCAGGAGGGGATTAATAAGACAAAACACATTGAGGTTTGTCACGTATTAATTATTAAAGTGAACATTTTGGGACGCACTTTTTAGGCAGAATACGATAAATACTATCAACAAATCGTAAAAAGATCTCCTGTTATTTCTTTTCCTAAAGTATTTAATGGTCGATTTTGATTGTTTTTGCGGCAGGCCCTTGATTCTACGACATTGCACCAATATTTGAGAAATAATTAGTCAGAACCTAATGTCATTTATTTGTTGTTTATCGGTTTTGCATCTGAATTCGCATTTAATTAGCTACGCTATCTAGAGTTTATCTGATATGAATAATTTAACCTTTCACAAGCAGAAAGAGAAAAAAATGGTTTTCTGCATACTTTCTCCAAAATCGTACAGTAAGATGTACGCACGTTAAGTGCTGTTTTTAGCCGAGAGGCTGATGTTAGACTGCAAATCGTACACAAATGAAGGCTGTTATCTGCACAGTACTCCAGATGAATAGACACTATTTCCCAACACAGAGAAATAGCCATGGATACGTGTTAACATGGTCATGACGATAGAAACTGAAGCAATAATCTTTCAACTGTTGAGATTTGGAAACAATTTATGACAAATATAGAGAAAGAAACATCAAGCAATCCTACCATATCATGCTATGATCAGGAAAAGAAATTTCCAACTCAGAAAAATTTCACTCGACAATCTAAGATCACAAATGCCTTTTTCTGTTTGAATTGTAAAACTATGCTTCATAAACACACTAAAAATACAATAGTTAAAACTTGTGATTCACTCTTTGTCCATGCATCTATGTTTTCTGCTGAAATACCAAGCGTGCTAGGTATTAGCTATATTTTTATCTTGCACAGTATTGAGAACAGAAACATTATAGATAACCGTGTATACGACATATTTGGATACTTGTGGTTATATGACAAGGTCTTTTGCCAGGTTCTTACAAATCAAGGTCACTGACTTTGTAGGTTATAGCTGAGTCATAAGTGGGACATCCTTTGCCGAAACAGCTGTATTCCTCGCGTTGCTTCGATTTGCTGCTCATTAGGGGTCAAGAAAAAAAGCGTATTGATTATTAGAACAAACCCTTTAAGACAAAATCAAACATACTAATGACTTCCTCAGAATTACATCTACATCAGTTAAAAATCGGTAAAAAATAGAGCATGTTTTGAAAACATTTTGAAACATGTTTATAATCTATAATCGCAGAATATCACGCAACAGAATAAAATTAATGGCTGATCGATCAAAGTCAAAGTTAAGGTCTTTAGATCCTTTAGCATTACGCAACAGTTTTCACATTTCAGACAAGCCCGCAGGGCAAATGCAATAAGGGGGCACTCCCGTATTTTTCCTTGCTTTTCCACTATCATCCGGCTAACTTCATATATTCGTAATTTTTTTCGAAGAATTTCACAGACCAGAAATTTACAACGGACAAATGACTCAGGAGTCGAGATTGATTAAGAAAGTCAAACGACACAGCAAACTTTGCAACTCATCGATACAAAGTTCTCAAAATAATCTTTGTGATATCTGTAGTAAGCACAGTAAATATCAATCAGATCAGTTTTATTATTCAATATATATGTTATCAGATTTTTTTTCTGATAAAGTGATTGACGCCAATATGTTGCCCATTTTTTTCGATCCACTTTAGAGCAAAAACTACCAACCCAGCCAAAGGAAAACATCAGTTTTTTCATACAAAATCAGTATCCAGTTCTCGCCGCTTCTTTCCTTGCATGGAAAATTAGAAAGTATACGGATTAAAGCTGATGAAGTGCTAGAAATGTTAAAGCGAAACATTTTTCTCTGAAAGAATTTTTTGAAGAAATATTAATACTCACTTTTAATGGGCGTTATCTTGGCCGTTCTCAGCCACCTCTTTAACATGTGTCGCTGTCACAAGCATATCTTGAGAGAGCCTCCGTTATCACAGGAGAGCAAAAAAATTCCATAAGGGTTAAGAACTGGGGGAATAAATGGGCCTACTTTCCAATTCTGTGTGGTTTTCCTCACGAGAAAAGCCGCAGGATTTTGGTGGATTTCCCGCAAGGCTTGCGAAAAATTAGCGATTGTGAAATCACTGTGCTATCGCTGAAAGATTGAAATGCGTTCTACAGTCTTATACACGACAGCGACGGGAATCCTCCAAATACTTGGGTGAGAAGAGACAGAAAGAGGAAAACAGGAAAGAGAGAAAATATGTCGAGTGCTATCTTTATACAGGAATTAATGAACTTGTATGATGCTTTCCTTTCAAAATCTCTAAATTAAAAATCCTGGCGATCATTTGATTTCAGTACGCAAATCAAATGATTCGGGACCATTCGGCGTTGGGAAAGTTTGGAATGTTATGAAGTACTGTGTTAGATCACCAGGGTATTTTTTTCATCAGCGTGATCTTTTAGCGTGAAATCTCTGACGTTTGTGGACCACACAAAGATTTCAATCGTAAACTGATGCATAATGAATGGCGCGGGGATGATGGCAAGGTTTCACAACAATTAGGAATGTGTCTTGGTCGACACGGTAAACTATGGAGAAAACTTGTTAAACTAATCTAAAATACAAAATTTTTTGCACAAAACACAATTCCTCTCAGAGCATTAAAAGTGTGAATACCAAAAGACTACCGATTCTACTCTGTGTTGTCACTATAAAGCCCGCAAAGAGGGTGATCGGCAAAACTTGGAAAAATTAATTGATGAAGGAATGAAGAAACGCGAGTTCATATTGTCTAGTTGGAGGAAATGTTAAGACATGAAGTGCGACAGTGAAGAAAAAAGTAAACAGGTCGAAATAATCCGACTCAGACAGTGAGATCTGTATGTTGACCGGCCCCNCCCCCCCTTGTTGACCCATTTTGAACATTTTGCTTCGTCCGACGTAAGCCGATATAATGAGCTCGCATTGCATTATTCTTGGCACTTAGAGCTTAGTAGCCTGGCCTACATTCTCGTTTACTATTTACAAACGATACGAAACTACAAGTTATTCCAGGTATTTACACTGAGTTTACTTAGCATTCTTCGCAGAGATGCTGCATTTTATCAGTTTGCTATGATCCCTAGATCGTAAATTTTAAGAAGAAGTGCTTTGTATGCCGAAAAAGCCTCGAAGTTTCTCGCTGTATCGCAGAAACTAAGCAACTATATTCGACCACGATGCCTATTTTATCAGGTAAGCATTTCAGTTTTGGTAGCCCATATGGGATTTGTAAGGGCTATCAAGGTTTAAAGGTTATTTATGGTTTTAAGGAGAAGTGCTTTGCATGCCGAAATAGCCTCAAGCTTTCTCGCTGTATCGCAGAAACTAAGCAACTATACTCGAACAATATGCCTATTTTATCAGGTGAGCATTTCTGTTTTGGTAGCCCGATATGCGATCTGCAATAGCTATCAAGGTTTAAGGGTTATTTACACTACTGTTGCCTAAATTAATCTTGTCTAACTAAAAAGTATCTCGCATTCAAGTGTTGCAGTGATGCGGTATGGTTTTTTCGTATCACTTCGAATTCCATAGTTCTGATCTGACTTATGTGAGTTTTAAACCTCATATGAGGACTACTTGATTTAGCGAGTCTACAAGCCTTCGATTAAAGCTTAGAACCATTTTCCCAAAATTTCATTGTTAATATAGTATTTAGATATCCCACCGAAGGTTTTAAAATTCGCATTTCATGTAGGCTTAAATTTATTGTAGAAGTAAGCTTACATGTATTTACTTGTAAGCTTATACGTAGTTATTCACCGTTTGCGTTCAAACTGCAAAGTGTTGTCAACATTCCGCAAATATTTCAAGGCTTTGTAATCCACAATGTCTTAACCAGAGGGCAATTGAGTGTTTTTTTTTGTTTTGACTAGACTTAACAATAGAGTGCTAAATATAGATATACAGTGGAGTAGTTCATTTATGCCATAATTTAATATATATGTTATTGTTTGGCATTTAAGTTACAGGTTATTGTTGAGCATAAAATGCTAAAAGCTACTTAAAACATTGTCGACCTTTGTACAAAGCATGGTAGTGCATGGCTTTCTAGAACAGCTTACACTGCAGTATTTGCCTGTCATTATAGAACTGTGTCAAACAGCCACCGTGACAATGCAACTAGAAATCTAGAAAAGATAGTAAAATTGCAGGCATGATTGAGCATAGTTACCACCGTGCATATTAAGCCTGGTTCTCATATGCCGCCGCCATACTTGGGACATAGCCGCTGGCACGGCCTGGGACACCGTTATGGCATATGTGAACATTTATCGCTGAATCATAATCTATCCCAGGCAAGCCGGTGTTTGTGCAAAATAAAGTGAAGTTGAAGTTAAAGTTGAAAAGGAAAACTACAGGTTGACCCTATGGTATTTCCCTAAATAAAGGGATAAAACACAAAACCTACATGTATACAAGCAGCAATTTGAGAATGCCCTAATTCCTTTAGTATATGTGTCAAACTACAGTGGCAGGCTCAGATTTTGGTTTAGATGCAATTTTTGGCATATTTCTTCATTTGCACATTCTGGAAATGTATTTTTGTGTAATCTTGACTAAGAGATTAATGCAAACCTCTTTTACAAAATTATGCATGCTTTTCACACTTGTGATCTCATTAATTATTAATTTGTCTATATTGTTGCAGTATTCAATTTTTGTTTGAGACACTGTTAATTATGTCTATTTGTTAATTTAATAGTTTACACATGATTAATGTGACTGTAATGTTACGACATTAAACTGGTTCAACGTGTAATTGGGATAATCTTATTGATGATAATCAAATTTTAATTAATAATCTTTGTCAAGCTGACAGAATCATACCCAAAGCAGGCAGGTAAGTGCAGTACACATACATGTATAGAGAAGCTACATGTACATGTATATTTCAGGGCATAGCCAAGATTTTTCAAAAAAGGGGAGGGGGTCACATTGTGTCAAAGTGAGGGTACTTACCAGATTGTCATGTCATTTTTGCTACCTGTGATAGGTTGTTTGCTTAAAAAGGTGTACAAAAGGGGGGAGGGGGGTCATGGGCACTCCAGGAGCCCCCCTAGATACGCCCCTGTATTTACAGGCAATCAGATGTTGTGGATACACTTGGTGTGATTTTTCATTTTTTGGTGAGGCCAAAATAATTCCAGCCCTTTAGGCCTTAAATTAAGGTGGGATCCCACAAAATTTCCAATCCATGGCCAGAAGTATTTTCACTATTAAGTTGGGGGGTGGGGGTGGTTGTTGAGGGCCTGCTAGGTGTCTCCCCCTAGATTTGTGACTGACTCATAAATGGACTAGTCACAGATATACTATTTGAGGTATGTTACAGGGATAATTGTAACTCTGGATCTAGATAGAATTCTCATCAGTGAAACATGTGTACAGTCTCATCTTTTGCTGTATGTATCTGCACAAAACTTATTAATTTTTACCTGTACATGTACTCACACTACTCAAACCTGACCTTTCATTTTATTATGCTGACCAAGATTAGAAAGAGTAGTAATATAAAGAGGGAAGCTACACAAGGCGTACAAAGTTAATTCCTTTTTGGTCTCATTTCTTTTCTATCAGATACATCTCGAGCAGTGGAAATTTTGGATGGCTTTCAACAGAAGCTCAAATCCCAAGGAGACACTGATAATGACGAGGAACTCGAGCGAATCAAACAGATGTTGGAAAGTCCTCTGTTTCGTCAGCTTTTGGTCATACAACAGTCTGTGAGAGAGCTAAATAAACAGCTAAAACATATACCTCCTGGAGCTGTTCAAGACTTTGAGTTCTCTCCAACAGGAGAACTGGTATTTCCACACCATTCTACATCAGAAGGAGAAGAAACCACAATAAGAAATGAACCAANTATATATATATATATGTAAATAAGGTGTTATTAGTAACTAGGGTACAGCTTGTCAGCCATTTGACCAACCACATTTGCAGTGTTTTCCACTGCTAACCGTTCTGTCTGAGAGTGCCTTCTGGACTGCTTGTAATATGATTATTGGTAGAAAAGATGCGAAATAAGCAACTCTACAGAGGAGTACTGTTCAGTAGCTGTAATTTGAAATTTATAATACTGACACGTCATGTAATCGTTGATTATCTTTAGGACGGGCGTCTACGAAGTGGTGATCACATTCTTCAAATTGGTGAAGTTAATGTTGGTGGCATGGGTAGTGAACAGGTAGCTCAGGTGTTGCGTAAAGTGGGACAACACGTCAAACTTGTTATTGCCAGACTGGTGACTGATGAGTCCAATGTTGATGCTTCCTCCAGAGAAGAGGTATTTGTTGCATCACATAACGATTAAGTCATTGATGGCATGAGTGTACCATGTAACTGTGATGTACTTTGTCCATATTTACATGTAGATTCCAAATAATTTTTCTTACGTACTGACAAGTACTATTAGCAAAATGAAATACTGACTTTAAGGTAAATGAGTTTGCTGAGTGTGAGTTTGCTGGCTTAAGTAACTTAATCATGCACAGTATATTTGACTGATGTTTTTGCAGGAAATCAGGGATGTACCTGTAGAAACATTTGATGTTGAACTTGTGAAAGACAGCAGAGGCTTGGGTATTACCATTGCAGGATATGTTGAACAGTCTCCAGGTATGTTCACATGTGCTACTGCACTGAACTTGTAGACATGTTAGAGCCATGCATCACCTCAGTGACACAGGTTTAATGCTGGCATAGAATACAGTAATAAGACGATTCCCAATGAATTAACAATTATAACATTTTACATCGCTTGTCAAAAGTAAACATACTCGATAAAAAAAAAAGTTAATCTAAACTCTGCATATGAACCAAGTGGCCAATCAGGATAGCACTTATCTTTGGTTTTGGTAGTATGAAGTAACTAGGAGTGTTTCCACATGTACTCCCCCTGGATGGGATTCTAGTCCATC